CTGGATTGGTACTAGTTTGCTTTATTCTTTTCACATCAACTGTATCTCACTATCTAATCTACATTTAATGCATCCACTCACTTGTCTGATATTAACAGTTTCTATACTATAATCCTGCATATATTAGTTGCGTTCCTTTTTCCATGTACCGCTTTTGTCCAAATCCCTTTTCTACGAAATTTAAATAGCCCCGCAAATTTTGCCTTTCTCTATGAAATAAATATGTTCACAAGAATTTGCTCCCTTTACAAATATTTACATTCCCAACAAAATCAATATATCCAGAAAAAACCCTTAAATATATCCAGAAAAATTTGCTCCAATTATGCCGCTTTCAATTATCTTTCAATTATGCCGCTTTACAATATCTGTTTCTTTTAAGTTACATCAAGTTATGGGTTATATTGAATTATTACTATGGACCTTTCAAGTTTTAACATTGGGTGACATAAAATAGATATAACAGATACGCAATCATAATAAATTACATGTTCATCTGTAAATGGATATGAATACAGGCATTTTTGTCCCCAAAAATGGTTATCCATAAAAGTCATGGTTAGTGACGTGCTTATTTTCAAAAATGTAAACCATTTCTGGTGTCTTTCAAAAATCTTGCTTTCATGATATTTCTTTGGAACATTGCATTTATTTTTTTAAAAAAATGATATTTAATTGGATATTTTGTTCAAAAAATAAAAGATTGTTTCCTTCTATATTCCAGGTTTTAAATTACTCAGCTCTTCCATTGTCTAATTGACATTTAATGTACCCACACGTTTCTTTGATATTGAGCCTGCTTTATAGCCACGTGTTATTCATCCAACTGGATTGGTACTATTATTCCAGGTTTTAAATTACTCAGCTCTTCCATTGTCTAATCAACATTTAATGTGCCTACGTGTTTCTTTGATATTCACGCTGCTTTATAGCCACGTGCTATTCATCCAACTGGATTGGTACTATTTTGCTTTATTCTTTTCACATCAACTGTATCTCACTATCTAATCTACATTAAATGCATCCACTCACTTGTCTGATATTAACAGTTTCTATACTATAATCCTGCATATATTAGTTGCGTTCCTTTTTCCATGTACCGCTTTTGTCCAAACCCCTTTTCTACGAAATTTATATAGCCCCGCAAATTTTGCCTTTCTCTATGAAATAAATATGTTCACAAGAATTTTCTCCCTTTACAAATATTTACATTCCCAACAAAATCAATATATCCAGAAAAAACCCTTAAATATATCCAGAAAAATTTGCTCCAATTATGCCGCTTTCAATTATCTTTCAATTATGCCGCTTTACAATATCTGTTTCTTTTAAGTTACATGAAGTTATGGGTTATATTGAATTATTACTATGGACCTTTCAAGTTTTAACATTGGGTGACATAAAATAGATATAACAGATACGCAATCATAATAAATTACATGTTCATCTGTAAATGGATATGAATACAGGCATTTTTGTCCCCAAAAATGGTTATCCATAAAAGTCATGGTTAGTGACGTGCTTATTTTCAAAAATGTAAACCATTTCTGGTGTCTTTCAAAAATCTTGCTTTCATGATATTTCTTTGGAACATTGCATTTATTTTTTTAAAAAAATGATATTTAATTGGATATTTTGTTCAAAAAATAAAAGATTGTTTCCTTCTATATTCCAGGTTTTAAATTACTCAGCTCTTCCATTGTCTAATTGACATTTAATGTACCCACACGTTTCTTTGATATTGAGCCTGCTTTATAGCCACGTGTTATTCATCCAACTGGATTGGTACTATTATTCCAGGTTTTAAATTACTCAGCTCTTCCATTGTCTAATCAACATTTAATGTGCCTACGTGTTTCTTTGATATTCACGCTGCTTTATAGCCACGTGCTATTCATCCAACTGGATTGGTACTATTTTGCTTTATTCTTTTCACATCAACTGTATCTCACTATCTAATCTACATTAAATGCATCCACTCACTTGTCTGATATTAACAGTTTCTATACTATAATCCTGCATATATTAGTTGCGTTCCTTTTTCCATGTACCGCTTTTGTCCAAACCCCTTTTCTACGAAATTTATATAGCCCCGCAAATTTTGCCTTTCTCTATGAAATAAATATGTTCACAAGAATTTTCTCCCTTTACAAATATTTACATTCCCAACAAAATCAATATATCCAGAAAAAACCCTTAAATATATCCAGAAAAATTTGCTCCAATTATGCCGCTTTCAATTATCTTTCAATTATGCCGCTTTACAATATCTGTTTCTTTTAAGTTACATGAAGTTATGGGTTATATTGAATTATTACTATGGACCTTTCAAGTTTTAACATTGGGTGACATAAAATAGATATAACAGATACGCAATCATAATAAATTACATGTTCATCTGTAAATGGATATGAATACAGGCATTTTTGTCCCCAAAAATGGTTATCCATAAAAGTCATGGTTAATGACGTGCTTATTTTCAAAAATGTAAACCATTTCTGGTGTCTTTCAAAAATCTTGCTTTCATGATATTTCTTTGGAACATTGCATTTATTTTTTTAAAAAAATGATATTTAATTGGATATTTTGTTCAAAAAATAAAAGATTGTTTCCGTCTATATTCCAGGTTTTAAATTACTCAGCTCTTCCATTGTCTAATTGACATTTAATGTACCCACACGTTTCTTTGATATTGAGCCTGCTTTATAGCCACTGTGTTATTCATCCAACTGGATTGGTACTATTATTCCAGGTTTTAAATTACTCAGCTCTTCCATTGTCTAATCAACATTTAATGTGCCTACGTGTTTCTTTGATATTCACCCTGCTTTATAGCCACGTGCTATTCATCCAACTGGATTGGTACTATTTTGCTTTATTCTTTTCACATCAATTGTCTCTCACTATCTAATCTACATTAAATGCATCCACTCACTTATCTGATATTAACAGTTTCTATACTATTCATTATATTATACTTATTTTTATTCTTCCTGCTTACCTATCTATCAGATATCTACTACGCTCGAATCTCTTCTTATATTCACGCTTATTATTTCACTTCCTTTCATCATAATATCCTTCTCACCTGAACTCAGCACTCTTTACCCTACTGCATTTTTCTCTCCTGCTTATTTTCTGTTACTTTACTCCATCTTCGTTCCTGCGCCTCCTCGTTCATAAGTTACCTTCTAATTCTTACCTTTATTTTTGTCAGCCTTTCTATCTATTTTATAATTACTTTAGTTTTTACATGCATCGTTTATATATCTTCTCCATCAGCATTCTGCTTGCATTAATAACAATTTTGCCTCTTCCCATTGTCACCCCTTCATCAGACATGCATTTATGTCATTAGATGTTATTGCTCTTAGTATTTATAACTCTGTATTTATATCTCTGCTGCATGTCTTTTTTTCATAACAAATTGTTTGTTCTTTTGGTCATTTCTTTTTTTTACCGCCCTTCGCCATGTTTTTGCCCACTGGATTATACTCTTCTAATTTTCATGTTATGTATGCCTTATTTTCTTCGCTGTCTCTTGCTAATCTTCTTTTATGTTATTACTTTCGCGCACAATCTCAGAAAAAGCCTTTACATCCGATCTTAATCATTAATATACCTACTTTAAATTTTCATTCTTTCTTTCTTGCTTCCATCCCATGCATGCTCACTTTATCTTCCACTGTATATGATTCTATTGTAAATACTTTTCCCTGATTGTGACTATTTCCCGTTTTTATTGCAGGCTTTCTTACCTTCTTCTGCTTATTCCATTTCTTCGCAACTGTTTGGTGTCAGATAAAAGGTGATCCATATCATCTTATATTGCCCTTCCTATCTTATATAATGTTTATATTTTGCTGCATCATATCAAATTGCTATTTTTTATTATCCTCATGTCCTTTATATTTGTTTCTACCTGTGTACTCATTCTCATGTCTTCCTTCTCACATTGCTTGTCCCTCCCCGTCTTATTCATTAGTTATCCTACATAATCATCCATACAATTAATCATGCCAGATATCTTTGTGTCCTCATTAGTTTTATTTAGTATGCCTCGAAAGCGTAAACTTTGCTCTGAAGATGAATATCGCATCCAAAATAACCAACGACGACGAGACAAATATGCTGCAGAGATAATCAGACGACACCATCGTGCTACCCAGACAGATACCAAAACAATAGACTGTATTCCGTTTCGCCCAACAGCCACTGCTGATATTCCGGATACTCCTCCTCCTAATTCTTTACAATATGAAGGATGCTTAATTGATGTTCCTATATATACTACTGCATCAGCAGCTAGCACTTCTTTGTCTCATGGATTTCCTGATCCTCTCTTGCCATCTCCATCTTTTGTTCCGAATGCCTCCTCATGCTTTCCTTTCTCTGTTGCCTCACTTTCCCATATAATGGATAGCTTATCTGCAGCAGCTATATCTCACATTGATCCATGTATCCACTGACTCCTTAATTCTTTCATATATTTCTTATTCCCACTTATTACTTATTTCAATAATAGCTAAAATACTAATTTCTTCATTTGTATATGTATATATATATATGTGTATCTAGACTATCTTCCTGCAGCCAGTGATCCTATCTTACAAAACTTTTCCACTCCATCACTATCTGATGTTACCAGCGACTGGTTCAATTGTCCCATTTATACCTGTACGTTTCCTATGTATTTCAACTCCCTCAATAGCTACTGAATATTGTATCATTATAATAGGTATCCATGCTACATTCTAGATTTCTACCAATATTATTGCTAAAACTACAATCATCAATTTTCAGCACAGTCACCAATCCTGACAGAACCATTGAATTCATCCCCTCTCCATCCAAAATCAGAATGGTACACCAATAAGTCTTTCCAATATTTTTATTACTTTTATCTCTCTATATAGAATAGAAAGCTTTTTCATTTTCATATCATAGCTCATGCACACTCATCTTTAATCCTTCAAGCTCCAACACGTCGGAGAAAAACTATGCCATTACTCCAGCAGATACCATCAGAACCAAGCATCTTACCATCTGTTCCAGATTGTCCACATTGTCATGCTAAACGCTTTTACATGGAACCACCAAGATTTTGTTGTGCATCAGGAGAAATTCGTCTAGCAGAAACAAAAATGCCAAATAAGCTACTGCAACTCTGTAGAGGGAGCAGTCCTGAAGCTATTGAATTTAGACAATGTATCAGGAGCTACAACAATATGTTTGGTTTTACATCATTAGGAGTTCACTATGACAGAGAACTGAGCAAAAGAAATAAAGGCATTTACACATTTCGAGTTCAAGGACAGATCTATCATTTTGTCAATCCACTCAAACCTTCTGATGGTGAAAAGGCATCAAATCTCCAGCTATATTTTTATGATACAGAACATGAAGTACAGAATAGAATGGTTCTTTCAGCCAAGTTCAGGGAATCAATTGTTCAGCAGCTAAAATCTGTTCTTGATCACAATCCTTATTCTGTATTTATCAGAAGATTAGCATATATTAAAGACCTGGATAGATACAGAATTTTTCTCAAGTCTAATCCTGGACTGGATCAACGTGTATTCAACATTTCCTCAGCATCTCAAGTTGCAGCAATTTGGTTGGATAACGACACTCTTAATGGAGACAGTTCAAGAGAGATTGAAATATGTACAACAACAAGAAACAGAAAAATAGTCAAACAACATTATGGTTGTTATGACACATTACAATACCCATTGATATTTCCTTCTGGAGAGACTGGATGGCATCCTGGAATACTTAGAAAAACAAAAACTCAGATTCTTCGGGACCCTCATCAGACTTGTGAAAGAGAACATTTGATTTCTATTAATCAATGCACTGATATAGAAGAAGTACTCACTGCAGAGCAAATTGGTATAACTATATCTACAAATCTTTACATTTTCTGCTTCTTATTTACTATAATATAAAATAACTCATGTTTACATTTTCTTTATCTTAACAGCTGCTAGAAAGAAAAAAAAGCAGAGGCCAACTGTTTCATGCAGAGAATATTATGCCTACAAGTTTCAAATGCGAGATGCAGACCAATCAAACTTACTGCATATCGGCCGTCTATTGCAGCAATATTCTGTTGATACTTATGTGAAGTTAGAGACATCACGCCTTGAATTTCACGGAAATAAACAAAACAAATTGACGACAGAAGCTTATCAGGGGTTACTAGATGTCATAGCAAAAGGTCACACAAATGGATCAAATGTGGGAAAACACATTATTTTGCCTGCAAGTTTTATAGGAGGACCAAGAGATATGCGACGGCGATATATGGATGCCATGACTCTCGTGCAACGTTATGGAAAGCCAGATATCTTCCTCACAATGACCTGCAATCAATCTTGGCCTGAAATAAAGAACCATTTGCTTGAAACAGATGAATCTCAGAACCGACCTGATTTGATTACACGAGTATTTCGTGCAAAAATAGAACAGTTGAAAGAAGATCTTTTCAAGAAACATCTTTTTGGTCATGTTGCTGCTTACACGTATGTTATTGAATTTCAAAAAAGAGGTTTGCCCCATGCTCACTTCCTCATCATTCTAAAGCAACAATCAAAGATGTTTTCACCTGAAGAGTATGACAAGATCGTTTCTGCAGAGCTTCTGATAGGCACAAATCACCATATCTATATTCTCTGGTTATAAAGCACATGCTTCATGGACCTTGCGGATCAATGAATCCAACTAATCCCTGCATGCGGCAAAATCACAAGTGCAGAAATAACTATCCCAAGGATTTCTCAGAGTATACAAAGTATGGAAAAAACTCCTATCCTATATACAAGAGACAAGATGATGGCAGAAAAGTATATATCAGAGAACACGAGCTAGATAACCTATGGATTGTCCCTTACAACCCATATCTGCTTGCAAAATATGACTGTCACATCAATATTGAAATATGTTCTGCTATTGAAGCTGTCAAGTACATCTATAAATATATATACAAAGGTCATGACAAAGTGATATATCAATTGACAGCAGAACAAGCAGATAAGATCATTGATGAAATAAAAAATTTCCAGTCTGCAAGATGGGTATATGCTTCTGAAGCTATGTGGAGGATCTATGCTTTTGATCTCAATGTTATCAGTCCATCAGTAATTTTGCTTCATCTCCACCTTCAAAACTGCCAATCAATGTGTTTCGATGAGAGTCAGCCTTTAACAGATGTAATCCAGGATGACAAACTTTCCCGAACAATGTTGACAGAATTTTTTTCAATGAATCGAACAAATGAAAATGCAGAAAATCTTAATCTGCTATACAAGGAATTCCCTCAGCATTTTGTATGGGATCAAGATGACAGAATATGGTATACCAGAAAACGAGGTCAAGTCATTGGTCGTGTAATAATAGCACATCCAATTGAAGGAGAGAGATATTATCTAAGAATGCTTCTCATGCATGTTCGGCGACCCACATCCTTTGATGATCTAAAAACAGTAAATGGTTATCTAACTTGCTCATTTAAAGAAGCTGCACAATTACGAGGATTGCTTCATATAGACAATGGAGCTCAAGACTGCTTATCAGAAGCTATTGTTTATAGAATGCCACAATCTTTAAGACAGCTATTTGCAGTCATCTTAGTCCACTGCTCTCCACCTGATCCACAAAAGCTGTGGTCACAATTCCAACCATTCTTATCAGAAGACATTGCAGCAGACTCATCTTTATCAAAAGATCAAATCATCACAAAAGCCCTTGCTTCAATTGATGACTATTTACAAATAATGGGAAAAAGCATAAAGCAATATGGCTTCTCAGATTTTATTCCAGATGTTCAATTCAGCGATCCTACAAAAGAAATACAAGCTGAACTTGCAATATCTGTGTCCAGAGAAGATTTGGCAGCAGTTTCTATGCTCAATCCTGGACAACAATTTGCATTTGACAGAATAATGCAAAAAGTGAATACAAATACATCAGCTGCATTCTTCATTGATGGCCCTGGTGGCACAGGAAAATCTTTCCTTTATAAAACACTCCTTGCAACAATTAGATCAAGATGCGACATTGCATTAGCAACTGCAACATCAGGAGCAGCTGCATCAATACTTCCAGGAGGCCGTACTGCTCATTCACGGTTCAAAATTCCTCTCCATCATGAAGCTAACAACACATGCAATCTTTCTAAGCAAAGTTCAATATCCCAACTGATCACAGTTGCAAAGCTCATAATATGGGATGAAGTAGCAATGGCCAAAAAATATGCAATCGAATCCTTTGACAGATTGCTTAGAGATCTGTTGAATTCTGATCAGATTTTTGGTGAAAAAATCATTGTTTTCGGTGGAGATTTCCGGCAAACGCTGCCAGTTGTCAGAAAAGGTCAAAAGGAAGATTACATTTCTGCATCAGTTTTCAATTCATATGTCTGGTCCCAACTTGAAAAAATACAGCTAACTCAGAATATGGGAGCATCTTTGGATCTAACATTTTCAGATCTCCTTCTAAGCATTGGAAAATGGCACACAACCGACCATTACAGATGACAAAATCAAGGTGCCTTCTCATATGATCATCCCTTTCATTAATGATCAGGCATCCTTAGACACTCTCATCACCACTGTTTATCCATCCTTCTCTAGCTTTCTACCTGGTAATCTTGCACTCATTAACAGAGTCATTCTCACCACAACAAACGATATTGTCCATGAAGTCAATCAAATTTTGATCCAGAAATTCCCTGGAGAAGAAGTCAGGTATATCAGTTTCGATCAAACAATAGACCAAAGCAAACAAGCCGATCACGGTGACTTCTTAAATACTATTCACCCTCCAGGATTGCCCCCACATGAACTGATTTTGAAGCGCAATTGCCCGGTCATACTCTTAAGAAATCTGAATCCTGCTGAAGGATTATGCAATGGAACCCGTTTGATTTGTTTGAATTTCAATAAAAATGTTATTCATGCTGAAATTTCAGTTGGAATTCATTCTGGTAAACAAGTTTTCATTCCTCGTATTCCATTGCATAGCTCTAATGATGAGTCATACCCAATACCTTTCAAACGTACTCAATTTCCAGTTTCATTGTGTTTTGCAATGACAATTAACAAATCACAAGGACAAACACTTGATTTTGTAGGATTGTATTTGAAAGAACCAGTATTCTCACATGGACAATTATATGTTGCCCTCTCTAGAGCTAAAACTGCTGATAATGTCAAAATTCTCCTTAGACCTATTCCTTCTGATTCTCTGTCCAATCATTGTACACGCAATGTAGTTTATCAGGAAATTTTGGCAGCTGCAGCTCATCATTGAGTATTAAACTTACATGTCTGTAATTACACATACCTATATTTATTCCTGTCTATATTTGCATATCTCTCTCATCAATAACATATTCTTCACTTTTTATGCTGCAGATATGGAACACAGGTGCACTACTGTCAGCAAGCTCACAGGCAAATCAAACGTTGGATAATAAAAGTCATCCTCATTGAAAAAACAAACATCTTCAGAGGAAAAGACCAAAACACCTTCCAACGCTTCATGTTTGAAGATGACCAGGTAAATTCCATTTCTAAATTCCTTTTATTAAAAAAATATCAGTCATAAAACTAATCACTAATCTTCCCCCCTTATCTATTATCCATTACTACCTTCATTTATCACCAAGTTTCAATCAATTGATCACTGCTTTCTTTCCAGAATGAATCAATCCAAGCAATTGCTTTCACCAGAGACGTAAACTATACAGATAGCAGGCTTGATCTTTACCGTACTTATTACATTGGCAATGCTGCTATCTCAGCAATCACTGATCAAAGAAACCAAGCTGGTTCTGTACCATGGCAACTAACCATAAGCAAAACAACTTTCATCAAGCAAGCACAAAAAGAAAATGAGCTGAACTTACGCAATCGATTCCCCTTAACTTCCTTCTGGGATCTTGACATATATAAAAACAATGATTCCATCAGATTCAGTAAACCTCTCTTTACTATTATCATTTATTCAGCATACACATATATGTCTTACATTCTTTTATACTAACACTCCTTATCAATTCAATCTTCTTACCTATGCAGATCTCCTCTGTTGCCTAATTCAAGCATTTCCAGAAACTATTATAACTACAGCAAAAGGACCACACGCAATTCGCAGATTCGTTGCTGTTAATCCTGAGTAAATTTTTTATTTTTCATATATTAAAACACTCTTCCACAAAACTCATCTATTCATTCAATCAGTTTTCTATATAATAAATCCTCTTCTCTCCACATTATCAATCATTCATATAATAAATTATCTCTCTTACATATTGACATCTATATATATTCCAGATGTAGACCAATGATCTTTACCATGTGGGAACCATATATTTATATTGAAGGAATTCAGCTCATGAACATTATTCACAAATACCCAATAGTCTTGCTTGTCCGACCAAAGATCACAACATACCATGGTTAGTATATTGCTTATCACTAAAGTGATTATTTAGTAATATAAATTTAGAATATCTGTATGATTATCATTATTTACCAATATCAATCTACACTATTTGATTTACACTAATATAGATTATATATTATGCCTCCTACAGAATCATATATCTAACCAAATACTTTGTTTTCTCTTCTTTTTTTCTCTTTACAAATAACAACTCAAGGAATTGATATTGCTACTCGCCCCAATAGCATAATCATCATTGATCCACCAATACAACAGGCTGCTTCCCTTCAAATTTGGTATGTATCTCTTTCTCTCCTGCTTTTATCAGCCAGCATTTTATCATTAACAAATCAATATAACAGTTCCTAACAAATTCAACAAATATGACAGGTGTGATGAAAATAAACCATACATTGAAAAAGTCATCACTCAGAAGCGCTATGAAAAAAGCAATCAAAAGCTGATTGCTCCACCCCAGACTCAAATCAGACCGATCTCACAGATTCTTAGCTCTTCAGAACTGGTAAAATATATCTTTTCTTTTACCTGCTCTCTTGCAAAAAAGCTAAATACACAATTTACTTAAAACAATCATGATTTACAAATTTTTCCCTTTTAAATAGATCAAAAATTTTTGGATCAAAGGAACTCCATTGATAGCCAACTTTGAGCAGAAATTTTTTGTTCCTAGCTGTGCTACATGTGGTAAATCAACGGGAGCAATGATGGATATTGAATTTGACTGCAGCTTCTGTGAAACAAAAGACAGAAAGCCAAAACCAAAGTATCTATTTTCGTTCAATCAATTACATAACTGTTCCTTTACATTCTTTCCAATATACATCATCCTAATCTTACTCCTCTCGTCTTTATAGAGCAAAGCTCCAACTTAACATACATGATGACACTGGCTACTTGCCTGCTACCGTTGAAGAAAAATATGCAGAAGCTCTGCTTGACATCACTGCGACTGAAATCTATGACAGATATATCAAGGTAACTATCAAGTCATTATTACCTATAAAGAAAACATTCAATACACTTGATTTTTTTCATTACTCAATATATATTTCTTTTCAATAATGCAGAACATCCCCATTGCTATTGATGCTATCAATGAAAAAATTCAGCAGCAAAGATTGCTTTGCGAGATGAGATCATATCTACCATCTCACAGACAATTTACTCCTCTTTACTTTCTCACTGCCTTCCTTCCTGATAAGTCATCACCCCATCCTCTTCTCGAACACACAACTGAACAAAAAACCCCAGAACCAGAAGTAAACCAATTGATTGACACGATGGCTCCATCAGAGAAGCTGATAACCCCAACCACTCCTGTTGATAAATGTACACCTGCTGTCACTTCCACCTCAGTTTACACAAACATTACTTCAGCTGGATCTTCCACATCCCAGATGACTGCTCTTCCTGAATCTAACACTCCAACGTTGCCCATATCTGCCAAACGTAGCTTAGATGACCAGTTTGACCAGGAATCCAAGCATCAGAAAATCACATGAACTCTAACCAAATATCCACCCATGTCGATACTTTTGATTCCCTGCAGCTATCAATCACATTTTGGTGTCATCTGCTTTATGTAGAAACCAAACCTAAAAAGCAGCATATATTTTTGTTTGATACCTCATCAATCACATGTAAAGCTGCATCATAAATATAACACAATGCTTACATTAACTTATCACTTTTCTTTACTCCAATGCATTTCCAACAACTCACCATAACTATCTATTCACATGACAACAGTTTCATTACAATACCAACAAAATAAAATAAATAAATTACTCTTCTCTTCCAATATATTACTGTGTCTTCACATGTCTAACAAACCAACAAATAAAAAGATATCCAAATAACACAAAAAAAATGCGCCGCTCATATAAGATACCATACATCAATAACAATCGCTATCAATATAATAACTGCATATAACTAAAACCCAGAATCCCAAAACCCTCATGGCAATACCTACTTTTATAGACTGGACAATAGAAACAATAGAAGAAAATGACCAACTCATCATCTCCTTATTTTACCTTCATACTATTAATGGACAAGCACTTCAAGCAATCCAAGCAACCCCAACATCCAATAACACATTTACATATGAAATCAGTACCAATTTCAGGAGAGCTATAGGTTCCAGATTCACTGATCCCAATCTTCAATATTGGTCATCACACTTCGATGCTGTAAATTGGCTCACATCCTTCATATCTGACTATCCACCGACAGAACTAATATCAAGTAAGTTTTTTCCCCTCATATTCAAAAATAGTACATTTAACATCCTATTCTCTGATACATAACCTATCTATTTTCCACTAACCAAATACAAAATATCCATCTATAACAATCTCAGGTTCCCCACCAATCTCATTTCTCGTTGAGTATAACCAAACATTTCCAGAAGGATTGGTAAACTAATATAACTCATACTTTTACATCTCAATTTTTACACATCTTATATTATAACCAATTCTTTTTATTGCAGAGAATTAATCCATCATTTTATCCGCATTTAAGAACCTGTTGGACAGACACAATGATTATACGAAATGGAAATCGCACATGGTTCATCAAGCTCGATACAAGCTTTCAACTATCTGGATGGAACAAATTCATACAAGACCACAATCTACAACATCGCTCCATTCTTCGATTTTTACACATAGGATGTATGGTCTTCAGAGTTGCCATCTATAATCAAAATAACTGCTTAGCTTCTCATGAATGGAACATCCTTCTCAATCATCCAGAATCATCCATTGGATGCAGTAAGCAATACATTCTCAATAAAACAATCCCACCTCTCTATTACAAAATACACTAACACTTGTATTTCGTATAACTGCAGCGCTATTCACAGAACAAGAGAGACTAATGACTCATTTCTCATTTTATATAATGCTAACAGCAAACGATCTCGAATCTTTGGTCAGTTTACTACAAATTACATTCCAATGAACATAATACATACACCACATTACTCATCTCATTTCATATTACTCTTCCATTTTTCCTCTGCTTTATATCTCAGGTACTTACTGGTGATATCCCATCAAATATACAAACAAATGACATAGGAATAATCAACTGCTATCATGCTAAAACTCGATGGATCTTCCAACTTGAAGAAAAACAAATAACAGAAGGCTGGCCAACATTCGCGCAAAAATACTTCTTACATGAAGGAAGTGTCGTCCTCTTCACCTTGCTAAATGAAAACAACTACGATATCCAACTCTTCAACAGAGACTTTATCCAAGAATCCTGATTAAACATCTTACCTATACCCTCTTATACATAACAATTATAGTATTGTTTATCCTTATATTTCTACTGTTGCTATTTCTCCTACAATATTTGTCTCAATATAATATATATTTTTTTCAGTTACATCATGTATAATTTTGTTTCTATATATAGGCATTTACTATAATTTTAAAACAAAACTTTTTTTAAAATTTTAGTCTTCGATCACATATTTTTCAATTTTTTACATTTTCAAATATTACTGAAGAAACATTTCTCTAATACACAGAAATTATCCTCTTTTTTTAAAAACAATTAGTCATATGAATGCAAGCTAATAAAAAATGATAAAATTCATTTATATTTACTAGATACACAACAAATTTTTATTAATATATATATTTTTCAAAAAATTTGTACTTTTTATCAATTTATATATTCTCCACAAAATAAATACATATAAAAACACAAATAATAAATATATATATATTTTCCACCATCTATATACATTTATATATATCTATATATATATTTACCATTTTATTTTAAGTGATAGAATCATTTAATTTTTTTAATCTGTATACTTTTTGTACTTTTCTTTCTTTGTTATATTTTTATATATCTACTTATGTATATATACATATGCATGTGTAATATAAAATTTATTTAACAATTAATCTTTACAATGTTTTATATAATAATATACTAAAAATAATAAATACAGAAATTTAAATCCAATACAACTACATCACAATTATCAAATCTTTACATCACATTAATTTTAAAAAATCCAATACAAATCACATCAATTTCCCTATATTTATTTACAAATAAAAAAAACTAATATACCACTCATCTATCCACTATTGCAACTCTAATATTATACAAAATATTCTAAATCTATATCACTAAATAAATCTAACATTATACTATAACAAACAATAATGGACACCCCGCAGAAGCCGCGGGGCACCAAGCCTAGTAATCATTAATTCAACCATGTAGGCATGGAACAGAACTTTTCAAATTGACAAGCTTGCATGTATAATCATTCACCTGTTTTAGATCTCATGTTTGTAGGTGTCAATGACAACTCAATCCGGAGCGAGCAAATTTTTCTTTCTTTCTTTTTTTTTTTCTAATTTACACACTAGTTAAAGTTAAACTTCGAGTGGCTTGGTTTTTGGTCTTATTTCAGTTTTTTTTTTTTATCAATCGTCACATCCTATTCTTAATTCTATTGCAACCTATACAAAAAAAAAAGGTCGAATTGAGCCGGTGTTTTTAGATGGAGAGGATCCGATCCTTAGAGTAAAAAAATGTACTACTGTACACCCTTTAAAATTAGAGGGAAAAAATCCGATCTTTAGAGCAAAGAGATGTATTAGTGCACACTCTTTGTATTTTATACTTTCATCTGATGGTCAACTCGCTTAAGGCGAATTGGTTGTTTTAGCTTGAACGTATGAAATGCTAACACTGTTGTGTGGTTGAGGTCTCGCTCTCTGTTACGTTTTGATTACGTTTTGATTATACAAATGTATAGGTACTGACAAAAAAAAAAGAAATTACGTCTTAAAAATTAAGTCGAAACTCAAAATACCAAACTACCCAACAAATTCGTCGACCTTTTAGGGATGCAGATTGGAAAGAATCAGTAGAATATTGACAAGACAAGATCCGCGGCCGCATGTTGTTTGGCTGTTGATGCTTTCATTTCACGGATAAAATAGCTTTTTGGTATGATTAAACTGATAAAATAAACTGTGGATTGGATCTACTCCAACAGCAAGTTCGAAACATCCGGAAAGTGGGAGCTATATTAGGACCCAAAGAGAAGACCCGATTTCGGCCCAAGAAGACTCTGTTTGAAAGTGTGAAATGGGCGGAGGAGCTTCTGGTTTGGTGAAGAAAATGGGCTGGGCATAAAGTTTGCCAAATTTCTCACATTTGACAGATTATCTTTGTTTGTAGCTCAAGTGCCAATTTTCTTCAAGATCCCACTACAAATCATCCAGTACTTGATGTGAAGCCAATGAGCTGTTGCTTGGAGTAAATAAAGTCAATTGATCAATCTTTGTACCAAGGAAATTCATGCTACATTTGATGTGAGGCGTTTGAAAAACTAGGTCTTTTATTTATTATTACATAAAGAGTGGAACCAATTCCTGTAAAGCTATCAGTACATCTTTTCTTAAATGATACATACCAATACACGATACATATTTTACAACTTTCAATTGCCCTTTGTGTCGATCGCTATAAAGACATATAGATGCATCTTCATTCGCATTCATCGTATATTTCACTTTTGCAATTTACAAACCCATCTCCAACAATAATGGACAATAATGGATTGCATTTTTTGTCATTTTTCATGGAAAAATTACTGTAGCGATTTGATGTATGTGAGAGAAAAAGGTAATAGGAAAATGTGATCACGGAAAATGACGTAATTTTTCGACTAAAAACGGCAATCCAAACAAGGCGTAAGAGTTTCTCATCTTTGATTCCTTTACATCCCAACACTACCACCTCCTCTTGTTTGTATTCCCTATATCGCTAATGGTTATCTAGCACACCACCTCTCTTCGTCGATCTCATCGCTCAAGATCGTCGATCTACCATTGATATCACTTGAACATGAACGCTCTCATCATCTATTTATAAATGTAATCGGCGGTGATAGATACATATAACATCTTTGCCCTTCTTGCTATTGTACTCCCACTATTTTTTTTTCGGGTCAGTCATTCATCTGCTTCCCTTATCACCTTGTCTTTGTTTTTCTTTCTCATTGATCTCCAATTTTGTATGTGCACTAAATTTTTTTTTTTAATACTAAAATTTCAGATTGAAGACAGCCCCAAGTTGATGTCCTTCAAAATTGGGGTCTTTTCTTTTTCGCTTAACTACAAGTTACATATAGTTTGGAGTAGAAAATATCTAGCAGCAATAAAAATGGATTACCCTCAAATATTTCATTTGACTCTTGTGGCCTGGATGCTAGATGGCAGAAGGCACATATCCTTGTTTATGCGAGTCCATGGATTTGGAGAAAGAGGGTTTCCAATTGTGTCTCAATCACCGGCCCAAAGCCAATGCCTTCTAAATAGGAACAGATTCTTGTAGCATCGAAAATATTAAATACGAAGTACTACAAAAACTACAGCATCATCCATTTTAATAGATTATTTGTTGCTTGCCTTTTCGGACAACAACCAGTATACCGTCAGAACACGTA